TATACATATATAAAAGCGATGATTATTTTCTTTGAATTCATAAATGGTTATTAATGAACATTATAATATAATGGTGAATGTATCTATTATTATTAGCAATGAAGAGCGGAAAGCGCCAACAGCGGTCAGAGCGGATCTTGGTGCTCTATAATATCTATTATTATAATATTATATCTATTATTATTGTCTCTTATGCCTTTTAATTTTTATATTTAAAGTATTGTATGATATTTCAATTTTATGTCTCATAAAAGTTTATCACAATCGCCATTGTAGATGCTCTTAGTTTGCTCATTGCTGAATTAATATAGACATTAATCAATCTTAAGGTTTATCTAAATGCAGCTATTTATCTAGTCAGTTGTCAATATTCCTCAGGAAAGTTCAATGGGAAATCACCATCTGTCGAAATAATCTTCTTAACTCCGTCATTAAAGATTTTGTAAGCGATTGTTTACGGCATACTGACGATCCTTAATTTCTACTGAAATAAATCCAATTAAAATGAAATATGTACTCAGTTAACGTTATTCTAAATGTTTTAATGCTGTATTTTATTATTTAATATATTAATATATTTGCAGAACGTTTAAACTTGTGAATCTTCTTAAAAAAGATTTCCTCAGCCCGCATATTACAGATATTTACACACCACTTAGCATACTCATTACACTTCAGGGACAAATTAATCCTCGACAGTATCGAACACGCATTTCGAATCCTGGCACGAACGGTTTAAGCTCGTTCGTTTGATCGTCTAGATTGTTTGTCGTCGACGCCGAGTTTCATCGTCATGAGCGCCGAGTTCTCTTAAGTCTCGCAATCAACTGAATCGTTAGTCGCTCTTGCCCGTTTCTCTAGATGTGCGCTTCTAGCCCGTCCGGTCCAAACGGATGTGCAAGGCGGTACGAAGTGGATTTAATTAAATTCGAGATGACGCTCGATACCACCGGCGTTCTCCACCTTCCTGAAATATCACGAGGCATCGAAACTATTTCGCAGCTGAGATGGATAGAGGCATATCTGAGTTATGGAATCGTTATTGGAGTTATGAATTCTCTATTGGAATTTGTAACATAATTATTGTTTTATGAGCAGAAGAAAACATGATTGGTTATTAGACTATATACATAAAAGATCTTTTTATCATATATTACACATGTATCCTTATAATATACGTAATAGTTAATATATTAACAAGATAGGATATAAAATAAATAAATTTAGTGCCATATAAAATAACTAAATTTCAAAAAAATAAAAAGAAATGCCAACAGTACACGATGTTCCCAAACGGTCACGAAAATGCAATGTATTAACCGCGCTCAACGTTGTTTGACTTAAGTGATCGAACGAGAACTTGTACGTTTCTACGTGGTTTGACGAAAGTGTCTTCCTTGTAAAGAGATAACATATTTCTTCCTTAAATTTTCATGTTATATTTATCGTAAATGTTTTTTAATAAATATATACACATATATCTACGAAATTTTCTGATTATTTTTTTCAATAATAATATTTTTTATTTTGCGGAAGAGGTTTAACTTTTTTTCTAAAATTTTCAATATTAAAAATTTTATTTTTATAATTATTATATTTGCTATTATATTTGATATAATTCAGATATATATTGCTATTTATACAATCTTTACTCTAGTTAATGCTTTAATTAATATTCTCTCTAAATAATTATTCGTTGATTCTGATGCAGTCTGCTCTGTTTTGCAAGTTCTATTAGATTGTAAATTTTCTCATCACGCGAGATTGCGGAGGTTGATTCTATCTCGGCTTCAAAAATCTTCGTAAACAGGCTCGCCGTCGGCGTAACGTTGAGAAAACGTGGCATGTAAATAGAATCCACCTGCACACACCTGCCGCAACTTTCGCATCGGCCCTTATCGCGAGATGCCTTCTCGTGAGAACCGATCTACATTGCGGCCCGTAAACTTCGTCGGTTTTCATGTAATCGTTCTGCAAGCGAGCCGCAGTTTAAACTTTGCTCGCTCAACACTGAAGTTACGCCACGGCGAAAATAATGAAAATAAGTGACGCAAAGTAAACGGCGTGACGACAGAAACGACCTTCGTTTAGCAAGCTTTTTGATCAGTTGGAATTGATTAAGCCACTGTCACGTAAATAGAGAGGCAATGGGTGATATCTCTTAATCTAGTTTTTCTCTTTTGGATATAAAATAAAAAAATCAACCGTGTGAAATCAAAGTGAACGCAATATAATTGTTTTTACGTTTTTCTCTTTTTATTTCTTTTTATTCTGTTTTAATGATTTTATTACTAATTATATCTAATATCGCAATATATCTTTTACGCTTTATTATTTTTGTGTTGTTACACACAAAAGTAGATACAATTTAGAATTCCTTTTAAAATTTAACGGTTTTTTGTGAGATAAGTTTTGTTATCCTGAAACTCTGGCGTTTGTAAATTTTCAGATGTATTCAGGATTTGCTGCAAAAGGAAAATTTAATTTCGCGTAGTTTCCCTTTCATAGTCATGACGCCATGTGTGTAGCTGCGGCGAATGGTATACCGAGCTTTAATATACTAAAACCCACGGTGTCGCGCGCTTTTGATTCCCTATTTAGCTTATCGCGGGCCTTTGTCACAGACACTAGGAATACCGTGAGCGCGGGCTGTCTCATGATTTTGCACGTAGCGACCTATCCGTTGCATGTGCTTGAAAGAGGAAGGGTGGGACGTTAGATTGCGGATTGCAGTCGCAGCGGTGGTGGCCGCCGGCAGTCCCGGAAATTGCAACTGCAAGCGGACCGGCTCGTAAACTCGGGGAAATTCGCTGACGCTCTCGTTGCAAGACGAGAGAGGAATGAACGAAGCGCATCAGGAGGCAACCGAGAGAAGAGGAGGTCGCCTTGCGTGGATCAAGTCCGTCGTAATTTCTTGCCGCGTCCTTCGGTCCGTCGTAAACTTTAAGTGAATTAAGGACGCAAGAGCGGTAATGGGGCCCGAGCAAACTTGTTGTATTTCACGTTTCGAGGTACCCGTTTGATTTTCGATTTTAAGATTCGCGTAAAATAATCGAAGCAATTTACTGGAAAAATTAGTCTGTCTTTTTAAAGACGTGAAGATAAACGAGGGATAATAAAAAATCTTCTTCGACAGAATAATAAGTTGAAAGAAGTAGACATACCGAAATTCGAATATTTTTTATTGCCTTTATAATTATGTATCTTAAATAGAATTTAAAAAGTTTTATTTTAAATATATGTATAGTAAAATATCACCATTACACAGTATCGATTTTCTTCAAACATAGAACTACTATATTTCTCTTAAAAATTCTAAAGTTCTACAGTTTCGGTTGACTTTAGGCTTTAGGAGTTTGTAATTTTATAAGCGAATTTCACGATACAACAATTCGAAATTCACAAGTTCTATTTCTTTTTAAGGATTAAAAGCTCTCGAAGATTTATGTGGAACTCAAGCAAACTGCTGTCGCAATTGAGTTAGAAGATATATAGCCTCGTCCTAGACCCAGAATTAAGGAAAAAAACTGGTGCAAAGGTGCAGTAAACGCTCGCGGCACAAGGAAATCGCTTTTAAAGTTCGAGGCCGTGCCGCCGCATCAAATTTCCTGGGAGATCTCTCTACATCGAGGTAGAGAGGTCGGGAAATTTTTGCGAGATGAGCAAAGGAAATGCCGCCGGATGGGTCGACATCCGGTTTAATTCTCCGAGATTCTACGAGCGAGTCGTTACACAGGATGTATCGTCGTCTTCTTGACTTTCCACGATTTAATACAGCTTTTAATGGCATTTACTTTATTGAATTCGGCTTTGTCAGTTCCCGAGATCGTCTTATGCGTCCACGGATATTTTACCGACTTTTTCAACTGAAGAAATACTTTTTTATCCTTATGAATCTTTACTTATTTTAGTTAAAGATTTAACTTGAATTTGGCGCGGTAGCGTCAGGATTTCATTAAAAATTTTGTAATTATAAGTCATATACTCAAAGTGATTACTAAATATTTTCCAGTTAGCTTTTGTTTATAAGTTGAATGTATTTGTTATTCTTAATATTTAAAAGGAATTTTCAGAAAAATTTGAAATATACGCTATATTTAACATAGGTTAAATTGAAGCCTTTATATTTTTATTGCTGCGATATTGAATTATAACTTTAGCAGCGAAAAATTATATGAAATTTTTTTTTCTTTCTATTATACATTAAAATAAATTAATTGGTTTATATGTTACTGTTCGTGCTTGTATAAATTAGTGAAATATACATTATTATTTATTAGACTTATAAATAATAAAATTATAGGGAAATAGCCGAAGGATCGTTTTTAAAGAGAAACTCTTTGAGATCACAGAAAGCACAATTTAGAGTATTCGTATACTTTGCAATCTCTTTGAAAATAAAAATGTAATTTGTTTTGAAAGCAATTTGAATGTAAATGACGACGCTGGACTCGATTAAGTTACAAGTTCTGTTCTTCGTAGCACGAATCTCTGTCGCGATTAGACGGTCGATCGGTCCTGTAATCTCTGGACATCGGTCTCTCTGAATTACGGAGGCGTTGCACAGTCAGCCTTGTAATGGCTGTGTGTAGCGACCGCGATGTGCAATCAATAGATAATAATTGGCTCCCGGATGCATACGTGTTATGCGGGAAGCGATATACTCGCGAGCTCGACATTAACTTTGGATTCGCTAATGTAAATCGATCGCCAATTAGCATTAATGTGGTTTTACGTTTAATATCAGATTATACGTGACGCGAAAGGCGCGCGCGCGCGCGAAAGAGGAAGTAAAGCTGTGATATCGAGTTATAATTACATGCAAATGTTATCACCGTACAAAGTTGCATCGATAATCAGCCACTTTTGCTCAAAGTGCTATCATTAGTCAGACTGAATGACTGATTTTTTTGTTGCATAGGTTTTTTCAATAGAATTTTTAGCTTGTTTACATGCGTATCCTCATATTTCTTATTCCTTTTTTTCCTTTTGCATTACAGATACGCGGATCGCTCGTACAGAACTCATCCGCGTGGCTTGATCATATATGGTCAAGCGACCGTTGTACCAAGTTTAGCCGCGGGTGGCAATGTTTCCTCGACGACGATACTCCCCATACTGGCCAAGGGCCTCACGAATTCATCCAAATCCGAGCCGGTGCCGGTCAGAAACCTGGTCGTCGGCGGCGGAACCACGCGAGAGCTTCCGGTGGCAAACGCGACCAGCAACGCGACAGTGCCACGGTGTCCCCTCATCCCACCGAATTTGGGTAAGTGAGAAAATTGCCAGAGATATTGATCTGTAATCAGCCGGGAGGATTTTTAAAATTAAACTTATAGCCCGCGTATCGCGAATTTGATCTAAAAGTGCTTCACGTAAAATTTACTGCGCCCGAATCCACGCGCGGGAATGAAATATAGAGGTAAACAGATTAAAATATTTTTAATATGCAAATATTAAAAATATAAATACAGAAAATTTATTAACGCTTGATATTTATATTAGAAATTGTTATAACTTTTTATTTTTATCGCGAAACTAACGGAGATATTATAAAGTCAATCCCCATCGGATAAAAGTGAAATAATAAATTTGTAATTAATTAAAATGTCTAGAATAAATTTGTATATTTTTCCCTTTGCGCTTTTCGAATTAAACCCTATCTTTTCTGTTGGATTCTAGTTGGACCGGTGCTTGTCAGTAAGTCACCGCCATCGCTGTCCGAGATGGAGAGGTCATTCGTGGAGGTGAAGGAGGGTGGCACAGGACGGCCTGCGGATTGCGTCGCCAGGCATCGCGTCGCCATAATCATTCCATTTCGCGATCGACCGCAGCATCTGCAGACCCTCCTCTACAATCTGCATCCGATCCTGCTGCGCCAGCAGATCGATTATCAAATTTTCGTGATCGAGCAGGAAGGTGAGTGAAACTCCAACGTCTCCAACCAAATTGTGACCGATCGCACGCTCTCGTTTCTTCGTCTCTTGCAAATGCGTTTTCGTTGCACGGAAAGTTTCAGCGTAACTGCAGTTTCCTGTACTTGCGAAAGTTTTCGAGAACATTTTGATCCCTTTGCGGTCGTTTTCGAGAGAATTCAGAACTGATTTCGAGAGATAAGAAGATAAGTTAATCTTCGCACATTAATGATTAATTAAATTAAACACGCGTGACGAATGATGAAACTGATAAAATTTTATAAATGAATAAACCGAAGTTTGAGAACTAAATACTGAAGTTGTTCGAATGAATGAACCGAAGTTATGTTCCTAGGATATAAACTTGACGTATAATTTTATTTTCAAAAAGAAGGGATCAGTTACGAATCGCTGTTTGAACGATATTTCGGCGTATCGGAACCGTAAATTCTTATTCGATCTGAGCATCCTTCCTGAATATACGCGACTGACGTGTGCATTCCGGTGTTTCGATAACATCCTTCGGAGCACACGGTTTGTTTCCGCACAGCGAATATAAACGTACGATCTTCTCCGAGCCTCTCCTCCTCATTGGTGCGTGTAAGCCGATACTTCCCTACGATTTATTGCCGTCTAGCGGACGTTCCTCTTGCTCGCGTATTTTCCCGCTTGTCTCCCCGAGACTGCAGGAGGGATCCTCCTACCGAACCGAGAGGAAAATGCAAGGCAGGAGCAAGAGTCTCGGGACGTTTCGAACGAAAGAGACCGTTACAAAGTTTCCGTCGTAGCCTCTATAAGCTCTCCGACTTAATTTTTAATTAAATTTGTGTACGTTCTCTATATTTCCCGCTCTTTCACCGACGCCCTGCCTTTCCGCGACTCGAGTAACCGACCGACCGTGGCGCGGGACTCTCGAGAGAAACGGCGCGAAATAATTTCACCGACACCGACGCCGATTATATTTTTAATGAAATTTTTAAAAACCCTCGGAATTTGTAACTAGCGCGGAGTACGAGTGTGTTTCTCTGTTAGTTTATTTAATGATGGCGGTGCGAAGATACGTTTTCATAAAAGCGTCCTCTCTCCTAGCCGGCCGCCCCGACATCGGCTTTACATCGTAATTACGTTCCTTAAATCTTAATCACCAGGTTATGAATTATGTTATGGGCTGCTTTTACGATGTGCTCTGTGAGGTTGAGATGATTGCAGATCGCGACTACCGCGGTAACACGAAAGAAAGATGAAGGATATGAATATCATATCTCGAATGGAAGATCTTTAAATCATCCCCCTTATAATTATTATTATATGTAATTAGAAATATAACTATATTTATAAATTAGTGTCTTTGCAAATCAATAGATAATAATAATTAATACAGGAAGAATATAATTAACGAGTTATTTTGAGTAGCATAAAAGATTTAATTTGAATAAATTATAACTTTAATTTCGAACAATCCGAAAAACGTATGAAAATAAAGTTTGAACCTAAGCAATTTATTGGGTGTCATCGGAGAGTTATTTTCGACTGGTACGAACCGTAGGAAAAAATGAAAATGCAAGGGAAATTATCTTACGGGGAGATAATACCATTTTCTTCAATCGAGCTGCGGAATCTATCATTCTATTCATTCGCCTAAGAAAATGCGATTTATCTTGGCTATTGAAGGGCTGTGCGAGCACAGCCTGGCAATTTATCTTCATTAAAATTGCTCGACTAAGTTTGTTTACTTACCGCGTATGCGAGACGTCAAAATATGACTGTGATTAATTCTCTTGTTATTCCACGCAGCGCTTCTGTACACTTCCGGTGTGTATATGATGCACAATGAAATTACATGCGAAGGAAGTTTCGTAACAATGTGAACAAATTTGTCGCTAGATAATATCCGATTCGGCATTGAAGTGCAGGATTTTACTACGTCGCGTATTTCGCGAGTTTCTAACGCACGTCGACAGAAAGCTCAAAAATTAACAATTCCTTTATAAAATAAGCCGCATGTAATTAATGTTAACTTGAGTCTTTGTCGATATTAAAGCGAAATTGGAGAAGGATTAGCCTGTATTCTTATTCGCATTTTAGCGAATCGAATATTGTATTTAAAATTCATATATCGTTTCTGCGTTTGATATCTTCATTTGCCACTTCAAACAACGATCTCAAATCGGTTTAACCGAGCAATATTACCTCCGACGCGCGTCCATTTTACTATGCATTCGGAACGTCTCTCGAAAATGTCAGTGCAATTTAATATGGTTTCCGTTGGAAAGTTTCGAGTGTGGAATTCCTGATGGAATCCTAAATCCGATTTCATTCGCGTTTCTCCGCTCGGTATGCAAATGAATATACAAAAAAAGAGAGAAAGAGAGAGACGGTTGTTTCGTAATTTTTTATCGCGGTCACACACGTTTCGTAGCGAAAAATATTGAATGAAATCGTATCTATCAAGGAAGATATTACGGCAAATACATATTAATCAATTTACATCAAATGAATAAGGATTAGTGTCGAATATCTGAAAGATAATATTAATGGAATAATAATTTATTTTCTTGTAACTCCAATTCTTTGTAATGTTTTCTTTAAATAAACTGGATGGGAATTTTTTATTACAGAAATATCTAAGAGTCTTTATTCGTTGTTCGCTTCCGACGAGTCGGGAAATAATGTTCAGGAGAATTGCGCGACGATTGTATTCAAAGATCGTGAAAAGATTTTTTATTGCACAAGTATTTGAAATCGATTGCTATTACGTTCCAATTTGCGTTAATTTGCTGCAAATCGCCGATGAAAAATGAATCTTCTCGCGATAATTGAATAAGGATAATACAATGCCATTACCATCCTGTACCATCTTCCCGAAGCGAATAAAGAAGGATACTTCGTCGTCGTCGAAATTATTTCAATCGGATCGCTATTATGTCGTAATGACGTTAATTTACGGCAGATCGCCGGGCAATGAATTCTCGCGATAATTTAACGAAGACGATATTTCACCAGCGCCGGTGCGATTAATTACGGCGAAACAGCAACGATTTATTCTCGCCGTTGCGCTGCGCGCGATTCCTTAGAAAATGCGCCGAACTGTTACTCACTGTCAGGCGCCGCTCTCGAAGGCCCCCGCGTAAGTCAGTCTTAAGCGCTATCTAATCCCGCAAGCTTGCGAGGGACTAACTAACATTTTCCCCGTGATTCCCGCAATGCGGTATACCGACGACACCATGAGTCACCGTCACGTGTTTGTATATGCAGCAAAAGCTGCAAACATGTACATACACAATCCCCTCCCAAAAAATCACACCCGATTTTAAATTCTCGCCGTTGCATATAGATATTTTTTTTCAATTAAAAAATTCGACGCAAGAGTGATTTAATTCACTCGTGAGAAATTTTTGAAAACATTTTTATGTATAAATCAAACTGAAATTAGTGTTTTTGCCGTAAAGGAAAAAAATAGTAGAGAGTATAAAGCGCTGTATATTGCCCACTCTCTTCTGTGAATATGAATATCGTTTACACCATGTAGACGCAGATGCAGTATTTTAAGTCAAATTATCTCGAATTTACTGAGAACGTTGCATAAGAATTTATTGAGCCATTATGCTGAAGTACCGCAACAACAAACGCGAATTTAAGTTTATTAGTGTAATTTTTTAAATTTCAGCCAGTCTGTGTAATTTTTTTTGTAGCAAGTGCTAGTAAAACTTACCGTGATAGTGTCACGCAGAATTTGTACCGTTGATTTATACCGCTTTTAATGTTTTTACACTTGGTTTACCTTTCGAAGGTGCGGTCGCACCAAAAAATGAATCGGACGATGGGTCATGATTATCGCAAACGCAACCCGCATATCCGCTACGCGGCCGTTGTGCGGATACCGTTACGATCCACGTACGTGCTAAGTCACGACCATTTATCGTCAAGTCGAGTTTAGAGACGCTTAATCCAACCAGTCATTCGTCAAGGCGATGCACCTGCGCGCGTAAAAGGATTAACTAACGAATCAATAAAACGAAGTAAATTTTGTGGGGAAAAAATAAATATGCGAAAATAACACGTGAAATGGAGTAATGCATGCATTAATGCATGTCGGGATTACCGAGACTTGTACTTTATGCAATACATTTGATGGAGTAAAAAATATAACTGCCTAATCCTCCTAGTATGTGCTCGAAATTAAAATATTGTTTTCACACGCGATATTTTTATGAAGGGAAGTGAACGAACTCTGTAACGTTCTCTCTCATAGTTCACAAAAATTTTTAGTAGGTTTATTTGCGCGGATCGGAGATGACATATCGAATATGACACGGTATGTGCGTATTTATATGTGCGTGTGCGTGCATGCGTGCGTGCGTGCGTGCGTGTGTGCGTGCGTGTGTGTGCACTTACAAATTAACGCGGCTTTAATTGTCCCAAATGGCTCGGACACGGTCGCCCTCGGCCGCAATTTTGAAATTCAAATTCCAAGTGCTCTCCTCTCTCTCTCTTTCGCTCTCCGCCGCGCTCTGTTCCACAGAACTATGCCTCGGGATTAAAGCGGAGTCAGCCACCGAATACTTCGCTTTTGCATAATTAGTGCCGCGCTGAATATTTATCGGATCGACTGCGGGAGGAGGATCGGCAGCGAAGTCGCGACTTCGTTTGCAGTAAGCCCGAACGACTCTGCGCCGCGCGGATCAGGAAATTAGATTCATGGCGTACTTCCCTCTGGCCTGAACAAAATCAATTTCTCTCGATACGGGATATAAGAGCTCGAGGGATATGTCGGAGAGGCGAGGACTTTCCATCTCGGGATGTGCTAATCTCACGAGTTTTTTTTTCGATATTTCGCATTTCCCGTTTTACGACGTAATTTGCGCTCGAAAACTAAATCGAAATACAGAGATAACGAAATACCTGTCCATTTCTCTTGTAATATAGAGGATGATAATTTGCAGTGATAATAACAACGTTGATGTGCGGCGTTTTGAAATTGTCCGAATACTCTAATCTTACATCTATATAGATTGCTGCTAGATATCAAATGGATATACTGAAATGATCATTAGATGGGAACGGACATAAATATCTATCTATTCATTTATTACAAAATAATAGCTATTCTCCGCGCGATTGTTACTCTGTGTGTATAAATTATATAAATATTAATATTCAAATATTTAAAATGTAAATAAATCCACAGAAATGCTGGATCTAAATGAACGTAGATAAATAAACGTAAACCGTTCTGGATGTGTGTTCATATTACACTCGTCTAAATATTAGCTTCGTGAAACAGAAGTGCAGGGAGAGTAGCGGACGTTCCTTCGTGAATGTCTATACTACCGGAAGAGGGGTAAGATTATCGTGGTGGGCAACTCTCGCGGACAATTAGTCGCACCTGTCGCCGGCCACCGCGGCGGCTTCGGGCGCTCTCCCGCGATACAGAAATCTGCCCATTAATATCGCGCTGGAATAGAAACTGTCGGAAGCACCGGCGTGCATCCGCACGGGATAGACTCTTATTATCGTAACTGTATACAATCGTTAACAGCGACCGTCCGGTCATCGATACCAAGGAAATCCGCTACCTCGCCGTCGTTAAGCTCGATAATTGCGATGAGAAACGCGATAATTACGACGAGAAGCACGATCGAGTTTTTCTGACGTTGGCAAAATGACGGGAACGGGACAGGACAGTGAGACATCTTCTTGAATTCAGGAAATTGCAATTTTCGTTTCGCGGCTCCGCGAAATTACAATATTCCATTAGAAACGATTTTCACGGTTATTATGCATGCAATTAAGCGAGAATTAAGTTCACCATTTTCACGCGGCAACGAAATTATAACATTAAATATTATGATATTTTGTTTATTTCGCAAATTATAATAATTTCGAACTGCCTTCGCAGGACGTGAACTCAAACGATAACCGCGCGTGCGGAAATATCGCGGAAATACGCACAATTGCCGTTTCAGTGTGCTGCTGCTGCAGAAAAAAAATCGAGAGAAATTACTTTTCCAGCGATAAAAGTAACGAAAGCCGAGACACGTCGGATGCGGCGAGAACAACGGGAAAAATATTCCGGGAATTTAAATGCACGCGGACGCACTGCCGGGGATACGGATAGACGGCCGTGGCGATGACGGCGCGCCGGCCCTTTTGCGCTCCCCGAACAAACGTGGCAGCGCATAACTTGATATTGCAGACGCAATTCTTTCGGATGAATAAATAAGCGCGCGGCGTTTCTCCGCGGAGAGAACGGATATGAAAATGAATCGAGCTTTCGTCGCCGGCTCGTCGTCGGAATGACAATCAGACGTGGTTTTAATTTACCAGGCATCGTGCATTGCAGAGGAAAAACTGGTGGGTGGAAGATATTGATAAACATTTAATCGTACCATCGTTCTCCGTCGTCGCACGGACGGAGCGATGGCCGACTTCTCCGCGACCTCTCTTCGCATTATTACGATAATAATTGCGCATGAAATGACGGTAAATTGATGGAAATGAAAGATAATCACCAACCAATGGAATTTCATTACTCGAGGCACGGACGGTTCAATATAGCTGGTCGCAATCTGATTAAAGAGCAACTGGAGCCAACTGGATGCTCAGAGAGATACAGGAAGTATCAAGAAAACATAATTAAATAAGTAGCGACGCAAGTAAAAACTCCAGTGCTATTTGTTATAGTCTCTTTCTGTCGTTTGATATTACTGAGAAAAACTGTTATCGGCGAAGAAGGTGCGGTATAAAAGTTAACCGCGTCACGCTACAACTCGGTCTCAATCTTTACAAACGATCGCTATAGAACTTGACGTTTAATGACGTCGCGGTCGATTTATGTCCTTAAAAAGGGATAAGGGCAAGGGAGATAAATCTATTGACTTTCGGCTTTGTTTTTCACGAGGGGTGAGCGCTCCCTCGCCTTTGGTTCTCTTTCAACAAAGCGATCGATTTAACCGATATTTCATAATTTATATATTATTGAGAACGTAATGAAAAATTCTTGATGTATCTTCATAATTGATCAGATTTATCAATAATTCGCCGAAAACAATTGCGAGCCTTTTTTTTATAGACATCCGACGCTTTGTATACGCTCGAAAGATTCGAGAGAGCCGTCTGTCTACTTTTTCTCGGCCAAACGTTTTGCTCCCGACCGTTTGCAATTCTAATTTATCAAAGAGCGTAATTGTGCACGCTCCGGAATGCGAGTGTCAATGCGACAGCGTCATAAATAAGGCAGAACTCCGTCCCCGTAATGAAACACCATTAGATCGCTCAACATTTACATCTTTTAGGTCAACATCGCCTTCTTCGAGAGATGAGTTCCCATTCCCTTCTCCTTCCTCCCCGTGAAATTGTTCACCGTAGTCGCGCTGCACCTGCGTCTCTTTATCGTCGCCCACTGTGTTCCGCGTTCCCGTTTCCGTTCACCCCCCTGCCTCCCTCCCCCCTCCCTCCGCCCTCTCCCCCGTCATCCCGTTTTATCGCATCCCTTTTTACTCGGCGCTGACGGCATAAAGAAATATCTGAAATACTCGGAATACACTTCCGCCAGGACGCCTTTCGTCGAGAGGCAGACCGGCGAGAAACAAGACCGTTCATATCCCGCCGTGCTGCGCTGCGCGTTTGGCTGGTAAACGCTCCTCCGAGGGGGGTCCTCCTCGTAACGTTCTTTATCTTTCAGCGTGTGTCTTCCGTGTATGTACGGCCGGCGGTAGTGCAGGAGATTCGATCGAGCGCGAAGTCTATTCAGCCAATAATAATCGACGGGAGAGATGCAGCCGGAGAAGAGCGGCTTTGAGAGCGTTGAGGCTTTGCCTCTCTTCTTTGAGAAAGAGCTCGCCAGCTTGCCGGTCTTGTAATCGTTCTCGAATAATCGGACGCGACGCGAACGACGTACTAGGTTCCAGTTAGATTTCTTTTGAGTTTCACAGCGCTTTCCGCGCTCTTTCGCTTCCGTTTTTTCTCCGCCGGAAATATACATACGAGGGTACATCGCGATGTGTGCTCGATAAATTTAATTTACGAATTACTTTATACTGCTTTAGAATCAACAATGAAAAATATTGACTAATTCATTTATGTAGCTCATATTTTTATCCAACAAAAAGTTATATTATTATATAAAAAATATTATATTTCTAGGCTACATTCCAAAATGTTGCTCACTAAAAAAGCTGTACGTAAACTATAGCTTTTTAGTAAAATTTTCCTCGAAAGCGACGTTTTGGAATGTAATCCCATTCAAACAGAAATTATTGTAAATTAAAACATGATATTGTCTTTTGTTAATTGTGCTCTCAAGTTTGTTTTAATATTCTTAAACACGAATCCCAGCCCGAGAGAGGAAAACGATGAGAGAGGACGATGAACGGATGGCAGAGAAAATAAGGAAAACTTGCCGAAGTTCCCTACGTATGACCCACTTCCATCCGTGGCATTTGAGTAACCGCGATGACAGGATAAGACACGAAACTTTTAATTGCGCCAGACGACTTGGCAAACGTCCCCGGATTCTCCTTCCCCCTGCAAACCCCTTTTTCATCAATCCTTGCGAGGCGGCAGCCACTCTTGTCATACCAGCGGCAATTTGTACGCGGCCGCTTCCTCGTCCCTTCCGGAGGAGATCAAGACTTCCTTCGGCTTTTAAACAAGTCCGTTATAGCAACTTTACCAAGAAAGTTCCTTTAAAACACGCTGGAGAGCGGAGTATTTGCTACAGCCTCGAGCCGAGAGCGTGGAGCAACTTTGATAGCTTGTAGTAGGTCGAACTAATCAGCATTTATAAATTAAGAGGTGCGCATAAATTAGAAAGAGAAAGGAAGTTAAAATCTCATACCCGGATCATGCTACATATTTTAAACTTGATTAACAATGAAGTACTTGAAAGACGTAGTGGATTTTCATTCGCGAGCGCACCGACTCTGTTTCCACTTGCTGCAACTTGTTAAAGAAGCTCTACATTTTGATCGTGATTTATGTCAGCCTGTTGTTTGTTGTGTTTATGATAAATCAAAATAATTATCGAGATAAAACTTTAGTATTTTAATCAAACAAATGTAACTACAACATTCATATAGCTGGAATTTTCTAAAAATTTAAAAAATTTTCTAAACAATTAAAATCAATTAGAGTCAAATTGTTCTTAAGGGACGAAAATCTAAAATTCTTTTTAATGAGAATTGTCGAATTAATTTTATCTATTATTTTTGCGTAGAAAGATTTAAATACTTATTTCTCCGTAGCGATATAACGCGATATTTATTTATGTCGTTCCGTTCTCAGGTACCGGGGCCTTTAATCGAGCAATGCTCATGAACGTTGGCTACGTAGAGGCTCTAAAGGAAAGAACCTTCGATTGCTTCATCTTCCACGATGTCGACCTACTTCCGGAGGACGATAGAAACCTGTACACTTGTCCCGAACAGCCCAGACATATGTCAGTCGCGGTGGACAAATTCAAGTACAGGTAAAAATGCGATCCACCCGTATGTTTACGTAAGAAGCCGAGAGGCCGATTCTAAATAAATATTTACAAACAAATAAAAAAACATAGTTTAAATTTAAAAAGATATAAATATTTACGAGCAAATAAAAAAACATAGTTTGAATTTAAAAAGATATAATCAAATAATTTTGAAATATGGATGTAAATTAAAGAGGAATAAATTGAATCATATAATAAATACGATTTATAAATCTGTCATTCTTAACATTTTTCATGTTGAATCTATATTAGTTTATTTTTTTTCTTTTCTTAGAGAATTTTCTCGAGAAAATATTTATTTAACTTAATATTTCTATTTGTAGACTACCCTACGCCGATCTCTTCGGTGGCGTATCCGCGATGTCACGCGAACACTTCCAGCTGGTCAACGGCTTCAGTAATGTCTTTTGGGGCTGGGGTGGCGAGGACGACGATATGGCGAATCGCATCAAGGCCCATGGCCTGCATATCTCGCGATATCCGGCAAACGTCGCGCGCTACAAAATGCTCACGCACAAAAAGGAGAAGGCCAATCCGAAGAGGTGAGCCAAAGAAGTTGGCGACATTTTATTCGGGATAACTTAGATTCTAAAAATTCTCTTCGGATTTGTAGTTTGAGTAGTAGTTTGAATGCTTAATTTTTGATGACAGGTACGAGTTCCTGAAGACAGGCAAGAAAAGATTCTCCACTGACGGGTTGGCTAATCTGCAGTACGAGCTGAGCGACAAGCGAAAGCCAAAGTTGTACACATGGCTCTTAGTGAGACTGACGCCGCCACAGCCCAGCTGATGGCTACCATGGCTCGGCTGAAGGCTCCTGCACGCCAAGCTTATCCCCTAGCGAGGTCAATGCGATTGTGCTGCGAAAACGCGACCCTGGGGCTCTCGCCGCTCGTCAAAGAAGCGAGACTAAAAGACGAGAAAGACATTTCCGCGAAGTCTGCGTGAGAGACACGATGACGTTCTCTGAAAACATTCTTTAAAATGCTGGAATTCCGATTCATCGACGAAGAGACGAGATCCTGAATGCACCGGCAATTTTTATTCCTAACTGACTTCGCTCTGCGGATTTATCCAATAAATAATTATATTATATAGTATGGCCCATTGGTGGGAAGTGATAAGCTCGAGTGAGTGAGAATCACGAATAATGAGGAATACTTCGTAAGTTGTTATTATACTCAATTAGAAGTTGTCTCTGTACTGACACGGCCTTTCAAGATCGTCGATTGATCCTGTCATTCTTCCATCGTTTCACTGAAGATTGTTCTCAATATATATATTTTTTTTAAATTAGTAAAACCGAAGGACTAAATTTAAATATGTCATTTGCATACTGCATTACTCGGGAGGAGCTCTAAAAAATGAAAAATGACTGGGCGTTTGTGCGCACAGGAAGTGCACATAGGATCAACGAGAGATTAGATGGAACTCGTCGGTAGGGATAGCGAGAGGAAAGACGCTTCCAGGTCGGGAGTATCATCGAGTATCTCGCCGCTGCGTGAGGGTCTCGTCTTCTTTTCCCCTCCTCTCGCGGAGGGAACGTTGTTACGTGATATATTTTTATTCCTCATATTTTTTTATCGCGATGATAGGTTAGAGAGCGAGTAGAGAGTAGCATACTGAGCTGACGTGCCAAAGGAGAGTGTACGTGAGTGCGTGTATGTGTGTGTGTGTGTGTACGTGCGTGCGTGTGCGGAAGAGAGGAGGGAGCGAGAAGCAGGAAGAGAACAGCCAAGAGGACGAAGAAGCTTCAATATCCTTCTCAGAGCCTTAGCCACCGCCGAGCCACGGGTATTATGTACGCAAAGCAGGCTGTCGTCGCTCGAGGGGACTTTAGAGAGCTTCCGCTTTTACGGCTTATACATTGTATCCACCAAGAAGCGATCACCGTGCATGATAAAGTCTCGTTAGCGAACAGAAGAGAAAAACCGGGCACAGCGATGATCTCGAGAGATCTCGTAAGATGGCCTGTTAATAATAATAAGTCAGCCGGTAATCTCGTTGGATTTTAGCGCGATTTGAGAGTTAACGGGGGGGAAGTGTACTTTCAACCTTCGAAAGCTAACGAGGCACCATTCTACGGTGCTAAAAATAGAGACGGGATTGGGGAAGGGAAAGAAGGGCGAATAATAGTCGCGCGGGTAAAGTTTCTTGTAGGGTTAATCACGCGAGATATGTAACGCGAGAGGTTTCGATTCGCTTTTCAGGGTCGCATATCGCTCGTTAACCCTTGATCCCGAGCATGCTCTAAATTCGTAACACGAGTTTTCGTGGTGGGATCGGATTTTTTTTTTTAACAAGGCTCTGTAAATCATCGTTTGGCTTCGTTGCGAGGGGAGATTGATTTCTTGATCGACATCAGCGCGAGCGGCTGTGTAAAACGGTACTTAATTGTTGTTTGTCATTTGTGGTGAACTAGCATCGAATTGTACGCTTGCGTTTGTCGTTTGCCCGCGTATATTTAGATACGAGAAAGAGAGACGGAGAAGATTGTTCGCCTCAACATGAAAGGTAAAGATGCTTCCATATGTTTATTTCATGTATTATGCAATGAGAACTTGTGCAAAATAACTACGGACGACATGATTTCCAAGTTTAGTTGCACCGATATTAATGAAAATTGGAAAAGTTTCATTTCCAAGTAAAGACACTTTCTAACTGATGTCGCGGCAAAGTTTAACTTTAGTTTAACTATTTCTGCTGTGTTCACGTTAAAGAACTAAAAGAATCGCTTAAACTAAGATTAAACTAAAAAGAGGCAGTTGGAAAATATTAATGAAAAATCGTTAACGAGAGGAGAAACTTTTAATTGACAGATTAGCAGTAACTGATTTACTCCCAAAATCGACTCTTGATTATACAATTATTTGCATGATATATCACGTAATGCGTGGATTGAAGGATGTATCTGGATATACGCGAGCGAGAAGATTTATATGCTTAATGATAGCAAGCGCAGTCAAGACTTGGGAGATACACTAACATATCATGTCTTGTCAAAGACACATGTGTGACCTCACTGTGCTGTGGACGAGCATACTTAAGCGTTAGGCGCAAGCGAGAGCACGGGCTGTGAATAATGCATCTTTTTGCGGTCGAACAAAATCACGAGGAGGAAGCAGTTACTCCGAATTGGACAGTAATCCAGCTCGTTTGCAATAATGGGCGACACAATTAACAATCCTTTTCCTTCCGCATCGCGCATCAGCAGCCGATCGATACCTTATCCCCATCATTTCAGGGCTCTCTGAACTCATCCAGCGACTTTCAAAGTTTTCCAACTTATCACTTTGCATTTTACGATTTTTGAGGGGCTGTTCTCGAAATCTTCCACTGAATGCCAATATCAATTTAATAATAATTAAAGAATTTGATATATTGTTGCATTATTTATTTATTAAAATTTTGATTTAAGATATCGATAAGCCTGTTATTGATTTAATTTAATTTTTAGTACTTTCTTTTCCATCCAAGAAGCGAAGAAAAAATGCACAGTGATGAGCGTCGTAATTGGTTGGTGAAGGTAGGAATCAGCTGGTGTTCGCGTTGTATAAGGTGGCACACGAAGATTCCGATTGAAAAATGTATGGGATATATGTTGGATGTGCGCTTGGTGCGTTTTTCTTATTGTCGTTTCTGTGATTGAACATTCCGGTGTTGTTATTTGATCTGAATGTAGATTATCAATTCGTACGTTCCATTGTCATTTTTGTATCCGACTTGGGCTGCGTGTTCGAGGAGAGCGCTATTGCATCACTGTACCTTTATCGTGCATTAGACGTAAGACAAGGATATAGAATGGCGCAAGAACTCTTGATAGAGGCGCTCTCCGAGTACAGCCTGAATCTCCTCAGACCCACGACTTTTGAGTTGTCTAAATATTTTCATTAAACATTACAATATTTCTAATTAAGGAATGGTTAGAAAATTAAAAATGCAAATAGAAAATTTTAGTTTAAAATAAACTAAAATTTTGATAAAGAAGAATTTCTTTAATTTCAGAACAATTATGACGAACAAAAAGACAAAACCACGTGTAACAATTACTATATGTTCCTAGAAATGTACATTTGTTTAATCTTACCATTTATTTGTCCAATGTAAGATTTATGTTTAATGCAGAAATTATATGAAAATTATTCTGCTATTAAACTTGGGATAAAAATGTAGAAATGAATCACAAAAAGATTTGTGTTTAGAGAAAAGACAGATAATTCCGAATAAAATAAATTTCATTGGAAATATAATTTTTGTTAACGGAGTACTAATGGTCTGAGGAAAATGACGAAAAGTTTGCAGATCTCTTAAGATGTAGTTGAGAGATGTTGTAAGAATTGTCTCGAATATTTTTTATTCGCGCGTTATTGACTAATTAATTTGCTGCCATTGAGCGGGGAAAACGGAGCGAACGTGCGAGGGGAAAAAAACAGTAAAGGATAATATTTCAGTGTAGCTTTTAAGAGAAAAACGTTGTATCATATATTACTACCGTTACCGAATAATCGGGAATATTAAATTAAGATAGGGGTGAACAAAAATATTCAACGTGCGCCGCAAAAGGAGTATGAGTTACAGTTTCCAAAGGATGTTAAATTGCTTCAACATTAATTGTAATCAAAACAATAAATTGTTGTTAATTGCGAAAATTTTGCTTGTAGAATAATAAAAGATCTAATTGTATTCTGATAAATCTCGATTAGATTGTGTAACATTTTTTTAAATTTATTTTAATGGTATTCTCAAATTCATTATCATATCAAATGTCACACAAGATTGATTATTTATTGTGATTTTTCTACCATTAACTCTGATATACATATGTGAATTTGTCATTTCTTTATCAAATTCAAATTCTTGCATCTGTAATCCAGAATATTTTATTTTTATATCTACCGCACTGAATATATTCAATTAAATTATAACGAAAGTAAATTAATTTAACATGACAAATAGTTGTAAGAACCGGTTCCATTATTGTTTAATTTCTGACTTATGTCTTTCCGAAGCACGCTGTACGCCAGGTGTGTCGTGTAAATGATCCAGTCGCAATGTTAAAGGGTAATATAAAAGGTATTTTGTTTTCGTTTGAAATATTGCGCGTGTAATTAAATTAAGTTTTCTCTCTTGTATTTTAAAGATGTGATTAAGTTCATTTACGTGGGACACTTCGCGTATCCTATACGAATATGTCAAATAAATTTGATGCGCTCGATTGCCGTACGAGAACCTCGCAATATAGTCCTATTCCTTACAGTTTTGCGACTTGAAGAGCTTCCGTCAAGGAGATGAGACTTTTATACGTACCACTGTATATCATGCACACGGATTTTTGCGCACACACGGAATGTAATTTAGGAGATTTATTTATATATCGAGAAAGAAAGAAAGAAAGAAAGAGGATGAGAGAGTGAGAATAATTATTTCGCGGCGCACGGTCGCGAGAGTTATGTAGTTATGTAGTTTTACGATCAATTTATTATTACCGTATAGCTATTGTTGCGCTAGGTTGATAAGGCATCAATGTTTGGAGCGTGGAGTGCAATTATTTTTTTAACACACCCAACGTTATCGCGAAGTGCGGTTCTCGTGCGGCGTGTACGGTTGTTAAATACTACTACCAGTCTCAGAAAAGACGAGATAGTGATTAATCATAAGCATGAAATGTCCCGTAAGTGGAAAAAAAAATAATCGCTAAGTATTTATATGAGAAGACAGGTGACAAAGAAAGAAAGAGAGAGAGAGAGAGAGAGGCAGAAACGACGAAGCACCCAGGCGTAATATAATTACGATGTGTAATATGTATATTATATACGCGATATTATATATTCCGTCGCTAATTAGAAAGCGTCAGGGAGTTTTCACCAAGCGCGGACACGAGGACTTTTCGTATTGTTAATATTGAACTGTCAACGCGAAGATGTGAGAAGGTATTCTGAGAATATTCCGAGAGAGGGACGTAAGGCGTACATAATTACGACTTTTCTAAGAGCATTTCTGTAAGTAGCGAGAGATAAGTCGAATTTAAACTTGTATATATACATATATATCAAATCCGACGGAATTGTATTGTAACTTCTCGGAATATTTTCCGAGCTTTTGCGATTGCGACATCTGCAGAATCATCGAAATGTGTATTTCGGGAATTCACATAGTATTTTCAGACATTTTCCGAACATTCTTATTATATTATGATATAAATACATACCTACTACATGAAAATTGTCAGCATATTCTGAAAATATTTTCAGGATGCTATCCATCTTAGAGAATATCTTCTCGACAATGTACTCATCTCGCGTCTGGTTTGATTGATATCTCCTCTAAAAGGGGAGAGATATATGTATCTCCCAAACAACTAAAGTAACCGAGAAAAGAATTTACTTTCTGATTTTTACAATAGTCTATCAGAAGGAAAAAGATACGAAGATCAATTATGAAATCTATATAAATCACGGCTAAGGGGAAAAAAAATAAAAGAAATGTCTAAAGTAACGCGGATACATTCACAAATCAGAGATTATCCTCGTGTACGTAATACTCTTGCTTCTTCTCGATTCACCAGAACGCGTCTGGGAGACTATTCCTTTTCACAAGTTACATTCGTGATGTATTGAAACAATAAATTTCTGTTAAAGCACATTTTTCTTTTTCTCTACCTTTGACACCACGTCCTTTTTCAACAGACAGCTCTCAATCTTTCGATGATCTCTATTTAGCTCGTAACAATAGTCGTCGATAAAACAATATCCGCCAACATAATTTTTCACGATTCTGAATAGAAAATAAAATCAGAATTCGATGGAATTAATTAATCGTTGCAAAGTGCAATAAAAATCGACATCCGGCCATTCGTTTTAAACAAGAGAAGGACGGGGGAATTTCTTTTTCTTTCAATGCAGAAATAAATCGTCAGATGCACACACATGTCAGATATACATACGTATATTTGATTCGTGCTGCTTATAGACTACGAACATTTAGCGCAAAAATGTATATATAACATTCCCGTGGTAATACGATGCACAGGTGCGATGATAGTGTGCGATTGGTGCGCAGCTATGTAAAATTACCGTCACTTCGAGATTGATTATTTATCAGCGCACGTATATTTGAACGTACGGTTCCAGATTTACATCGCCACCGGTCCAGACGTGATAAAATAACGCAGTCAAACCCTTTAAGGTGGTTTTATCGCTCAGCCAACGCCAACTCGATAGTGTGACATGTCGTTGTCACATAAACGTCACACAATCGCGTTATATGTACAGTCTATACGAAATGTTTTTATCAAATTACGCTTGTTTTTATTGAATTATTATTAGTCATATGGAGGGACTAACTTTTGACTGGGACTTGCGCGATAAAACCACCTTAACTCCTTTTTGACCATATATATCTTGGCACTGCAAGAAGACATTTGATTTTTTTAATCATAAATTATCGACGATTAACGTAAAAAATCTTGAAACTTTAATATCCATATTAAAGGTCGAATTTTTAATATTTTATATTATAAGAATTATAAGAATTACTTAAACATGCAATATTTCCTATAATAATCTCTTAATAATAACTTATCAAAATTTCTATGTAAAAATAAGCACAATATTTATCTAAACAAATTCAGTTTTCTTTATGTCAAAAAATAATAGAAAAAATTTTTCCTTCGAGAATTTTGGTCAAAAAGGTATTGATGTACGAAAGAACGAGCATTCCGACTGTTTCATGCATCGCGATAAATTCTGCAAACCTACGAAAACTCTCCATCGGAGTAACTATCTTAGAATCGATATAATCTGATCCCATAATCTAAAAACGCTGCTCTTCGACAATATAACATTGACTAATGAACAGTAAGTTATCATATATAATGTATTACACCTGCTAATATCTTCTTCGAAATCGAACGCAGCCCTCCGCAACTTACGTATTCGCAAGAATAACCGAATCGCGTCACGCACAAACGAAGATCTTAAATGCTATCCAATGAGACGTCATCGCGATAATTATGCACGGATACGCAATATCTAGAACCAGAATACAATATATTTACGGTTTAACAATTGATAAATTAAATATCAATATAGTTAATGCTAAATCATGTTAACGTTTCTCCGATTATTAGCGGCATTATTATGCCCTATCAGCTATTACGCGCACGTATACACCAACACATTAATGTTTAATATTTAATACGCAATATTGCGGTATTTCGGTAGCGATCGCTCGCCGGCCGAATATTATCAATGAAACCTTCATCGGCGCAACGAAGCCCGTCTGGCACACAAATTTAATCGCTTCGGAATATAAAACTTTTCTCTTTGTGGAATATAAAAATTTCTATCGAGAATATGTAAAATTTCTCCATGTAACGTATGAGCTAATCGCAAATTACACTTAATAACAAATGAAAAATATAACGCGTTACTTCTCGATATTTATTCAAACGTCGAATTTTTGTGAAAAACTTTAACGAATTTCAACTAAGAAATAGTCCAGCTATTCAATCAAGAGTTCGACCGTCAACAATTACGTAAAGGATCATCTCTATCCAGCACCATAATAGGGAATCGATCTACGAAACCTGGCGTTTTTTCTCAATTCTCTTGTTTCTTTGTTCGCTTCTTTTGTTTTACCATGGTGTATTTTTCCAACAGAAATAACACATGCGTATTAACTCTGGAATACGCATTTTCACGTGACCAGAATTCACTCGAAAATTGCACTAAAGCAATTTATAGTTGCGCACTGCACCGCGTGGATACACATGTGTGTAAACATTCGAATCGTATACGCGATTAAAATATGGCAGCAATATTTTCCAATTTGGACGGGACACATTTTTAGCACGAGGCTTGGTGTATTTTTTACCAGCCGAAATTTCGGCTCATTGTGTATAATTTAAACATTTTGATACAAAAACTAATTTGATATATCTATATAATTATATGTAACACATTTTTTACTGTACATCCCAATTATGTATTTCGTAGTAATTTTTATAAACTCTCTTCTTGCTTGTTTTAATAGATACTCAATCGTGAATTTAACTTATTAAGAAAAGTATATGAAATTTATGAATTATATTAATTAAATTAATTTTAGAAAAATCTGCTCTTTTTGTTTAATAGAGCATCTCTACCTGAGTATCGCATCGTGAATTTCAATTCTCCGTTAAACCTTGAATCGAAAATCGATCTTGATCCATGGACCCTCTAAAAACGCGAGTTATATGACACTAATTTTAATCTAATTTCCAGAGTTAATACCATTAAAAACGATAAAAAAGTGCTTTAGCACTCTCATTTAACGATGTTTGTGCGATATGTATGTAAAGTAATTGGCACAGGTATATGTATATTATACGCATTATTACAAAATCCATTAGAAATTGATCCCACCCCGATTATCGCGCGCCTCTCTGCTGCGGGTTGGTCCTCTTTAAAAAGAAACCACCATCGTCATCGTATGTTGACAGGAACCACCCGCAATCTTTCGTACGTCCCTCTCTAATGAATACAAGAAACCCCGTCGGACTTAATGTAGTCTCATTAAGATCACACAAAAATAGACACCGCTACGTCGGCATCCCCGCTGTCTGTCTGCAGCGTTCGATAAAAATATGAATAATCGGCGAAGATCGTCGCCATTATGAATTTTAAACTCGCGATCGGAAGCTCGGCCGGGACAGTTTTCGGCGAGGATTTCAATGATTGCCGTTGATCTTTTTGGACTGGCCGTTGTCCGAGAGGTGTTTCCAGAGGCCCGTGATCAACGGCACGTCCCTGAAGCTGTCGGCCGCCGGCTATCCTGCCTGCTACGAGCACATCAAATCGACCGACCTGGACTCGCCCCAGGCGTTTTGCACCTTGAAACCGGCGCTCGGTCGGGGCACCACGTGGTGAGCTGGGGTGGACGCCGCCGTGTGGTGCCTAAGCGTTGTCATAGGAATACTGTTGTTACTCGCCACGCTCTTCTTCTGGCTCTTCTTTACGTCCGAATCCTCCTCGAAGCACACCTGAAAAGAAGTGATTCACGTTATTCGATGAATTTTTATTTTTTTCTCTACACATATATTTGATTATGAGAGATTATGTAAACTAAAAGTAAATTCGATTGTTATTTCCTTTTAGATAGCCCATTTTTAATATAAAATTATTTCCTGGAACTTTTAATCTCTTTAGAAACAGGAAAAATGAAATGAATTGATAAATAAGCATAATATATATATTTTTAATGTTCCTTAAGATTTTTAAAGAACATATAAACAAAATTACAAATATTTTGATTATATTAATTAATATTATAATTATTAAAAAAATATATAAAATCCTCTGCGCCAACTGATTTAAGGAATAGCGGACAAATTTCTTTTGACACGCCTAAATTTCCGAGGCATATAAAACATACGAGTGTTTGAAGTGCTATCTTTCTCAAAGAATAGGCAAAATTAATCTACTATTTCGGATATACTTATATGTATTTTAATTTTGCTTTAAATGTTCTTCTTCTACGAAGAAGCCTCTTACGTCTCATGACGTGACGCAGATCAATGGCGTATATATGTACATAGCAACGCGACGTAGAGTACCTATCGACGAGATGTAGCAAACCGGGAAGGGATCAAACGCCGTGGGATTATAGTATAGCTTTGCTCGGTCGGTTTTTGCTGATCGACAACAACGACACGTCGTCAAAGAGAAACTCAGCGTTTCATCACTCACCCATGAATTTCCCGCCGGTTTGGGATCGTTCGACAAATCAATTAAAAGATTCTTCTGACTATCATTGCGCCGCTGTTGACCGTTCTGCTTGTTTTGTTCATTAATCTTGCCAGTAGTAGTCTTTGTCTCGCTGGCGCTCTTCTTCTCATTGTTATCTGCAATTAAAAATACAGAATAATTAGACTAAATGAAAACATGAAAATACGAAAAATGTACCTGCCATATGTAAGAAATATGATAATTTTCAATAGAAAAATAGATTTGCAAATAACTACAGAAATACCGTTTATCACGAAGTCTCATAAAACATTGAGATATGTTAAGATTAAATTATAGTTCTTATCCATTTGCGGTCCATTTGTGTGTCTATTTGGAAGAATTTTAGTTCGTATTAAATATACATTTATTTATATAATTCATAATTATTCCCAAAATCGTCTTAAAGTTTATAGTTGAAAAAATGATTTTCGAATGGAAAAAAAGCTAGAGATGCTAGATAACAAATTCAAAATTTCCATGACAATTCTGAGGTCTCGTATTACAATCTTGTTTTTCCTGAAATATCGCGGTAAAAAAAAAAGATTGAAAATATGAACCTAATTTTACTGGGTGATATAAGAAAAATATTTCCAAAACGAAATGCATGTGAATTTTCCTAAAGCTCTGCAATTCCAAATATTTGATGCAATATGCAGAAGCAAAACATTTCCATGCAATATCCATAAAATGAAATTCTTAAAAAAAGGCGATTTAAAAATCAATAAACTAGTTTTGCGATATAATTCGAGAATCGAATCGATCAATTATAAAAATATTCAAATCTAACAGATCTACTCTTCTGATGCGAACTTTTATATTTCAGAGGTAATAAAGAAAATTGGCGTCAATGAAAAGTATTGAATGAAAAATAAGATATCCCTACTTTCAAGAAGAATTATAATTAACATTTAATTACGTATTAACATTACGTATTAACATTATAATTAACAGTTTTCAGAAATCTTTCGTTTAATTATAGTAAAAAGAAAAATGCGATATTTTAAATAAATATAAAATGAAACTGTATGAATTAAAGTTGAGCCCACTTTAGGAACTTAACTTTAACGCGATCCATAATTCGCACCAGATTTCATAAATTTTTAGAATTCTATCAACAATTTTATACGCTGTATATTTCCACGTCCGTATGTATATATTTTATATGTATACTATATTCAGGCCATTTAAGTGCTTTCGTATTACGTGACATAGAATATTACAGACAGAATTATAAATAGAATTTTATCCTGAATTTCGGCATGAATTATAGATTGTCTGGAATGAGCTTCAAATATAGAGTTACAATATTGTATTACTTTGGATATAATACAGATGATAAAAAGCAGCGAACAATTGTAATCGAGCAAAAAAAGCATTGCAATATTTTCCGCTGATATTTATCGAAATAACGCGTATGTGTGCGAGACACAATGCAATATGTACGATGATGTACCTACGTGCCATTCTGATATTAACGCACAATTTCCTGATTCTCTTGCAGAGTGCCAGGAGGCACCCCGCAATATCCGTACTCTCGGCGCGTTAAGTGCAACGCCCATATAGGCACTGCACTTTACGATCAACGCGGCAGCCACCTCTTTATACCGCACTTGCTCGAACTAGCTCGAGATTAAGGCAAGTGGCAAGCTTTCCGAAGTGCAGAACGAGAGCCAGCTGCATTTCTAATTACCGTGACTTTATCGTAACGATACGAAGTATTTAATTTTTCCACGAGCTCTTATAATAATATTGTAATATATATCGCGCGACTCTTCGGAAATCTCAGCTCTTGCTATATTAATAATCACGTACTCCTTTGAAAATCCAGATGTTCAAATTTCTAAATACATGATCTACTTAGGCAGCTTTGAAAATGTTAACTTTTTTTTAGATTTACGCTGAAAAAAGACTGATCTGCCAACTTGTTGACTTCTTATTAAGGATTAACAAAACTGTAACTTTATATTGTAAAGCTCACAAACAATCTAGATAATTTATATATATAAATTCATGTGGCAATGCAAAATAGAATTCCATTTATTAAATTAACACGATCGTTTAGTTCATTTTCCCTATACCTTTGCAAATTCTTTTAGATTTTTCTTATATTTGAACGGAAAAACCTTTCTGTCACTTCGAGATATTACGACGAGATGATCGGAGGAAAGGTATACTAGTACGGAAAACTTTCTCACCGATCCTGCCACCTGTCGAGGGAGAGCTTTTATCCTGCGTCTGATGGATTCTGGGATCGGACTGCGACAACTGCCACGCCTGATAAGCCGTGTTGAAGGCCTGCGCCACAGTCAGCGTCACTGTCTGCGCCATTTTTCTCTTCGGGCAGAGAAACGCGTGGCACTCCATCGTCTCGTTGAGATTCGTTGCGATGAATGCGAACACGTGATCGTGCGTCGCGTCTGCTGAGCAGTACGAAATCCTGAAATAAAAGAATAATGGAATAAAAATTAGTATTATTAGAGAATTGTTTTTTATTAATCTATTCTTTCTATAGGTATATTAAAAAACAAAAATTATTTTTTCAATTAATAAGAAATTAATTTTTTTTTAAATTAATTACTTTCCACTGAGAAAAATAGATATTATCTATCACTTTAGTTGTCTCTTCACGCGCTTTAATAATAATGTTCTTAACAGTATTCGTGTATACACTGATAATTTAGATCTTTCGCGTGAATCTACACGCACATCCGGCGCGACGTAACTGTGATATGCAAATCCACGCCCATCGCTCGCAGCGGCAGCCACTTCCGTTTATGTCGCACGACGGTATTCGCTCGCCGTGTTGTATAGTAGTCGAAAATTTGCTGGAGGGCACTTAGGCGAATTCTAAATTCCCTGAAGGAAACGAGAGTAATATGCAAAGGGCGGCGTGAGCAAAATGCACTGCCAGCGGTTACAAAAGAACGCATACAATGAGCTGGCGTTTTATGGGCTTCTTATCAAGGTGGAATTTCTATCTCTTATTTTAGATACAAGCTTGGTCTACTTTAATAACCAGTCACAGTCAATTCATTATCAAATCAAATTATAATCAATTAATAATAAACGTACATCGCGTCTAATATAATACAATCATATACATTTTAATATTATATAGGGAGAAAGATAGGTACATATGATACTCCATAAAGTGGTAAGTATTAATAGAAATAGGACGACTCAATATGTATAAAGATAATTTCTTAATGTAAAAATAATAATCATACACACACATAGATTAATTTTTACTTTTACGCACAAAGCTTCTTTTTCGTATACCATTTTATTCCTTTTTTATTTCTTTCACTTTTCCTTTATTTTTTCGATTTTTCCACCTTTGTCGTTTCTTTGTTTCCTTTTCATCGCTCTCTCTTTCTCTCTCTCTCTCTCTCTCTCCTCTTTTTTAAACTCTTTTTCTTTTCCTCTCTTTTAGTATCGCGGAGTTTTCAAGTTACGCCATTGCGCGAGCGAGAACCGATAACGTCATCAGCCCCGAAATAATGCTCTTTAACGCTCTTAATCCCGCGGCTTAATTTTATTCAGCCGCGCGTCTTTCCACGCCGGTTAATTAACTCGCCATTAACGGCGCCGAGCGGCGAGATTAAGGGAATTTATAACCGGCACGTCAACCCTCTCGCCGCGCTCGCCGTCATGTCGCTCCTTTTTTTACGCGTCCCGTGAAATTTCTCGTTCGCCACTTTAGCGCACCTCCGGGCGCATTATGCACCGGAGGAACAAAGCCCCGACCACCGGCGGGCTTTCACCGTAACAATGGAAAACCACCGCCTGGTATTTCGCCGGCCGGTCTAACGAGTCCGCGGGATCATTATCGCGAGAAAAATTCGTTCCATTCCGTCCGTTCGTTCGTTCGCGCCGCGTGAAAATTCAGGGTGAGACTCTTTCAAAAACCCGACGCATCCCTTCGACCTTTTTAAACCACACCTTTCCGTTGCCGCTGCGTATCTCCCATTTCATTACACGAATCTTAATCTAATTTCAATGTGTAAAATCAATCCATCCGATTAATGCTTAATTTTTTATATTTATTCGACTGATAAGTTCGCTTTGTTAATTATATTAATGTACATATATTAATTTGGCGTTTTACTGAACGTGAACTTTGAATTGAATTTTTTTCGAAGACAAAAGAAAAGAGCACACTGATCTCTCAGAATGATGTTACGGGGAGTTAAAATCGCATTTGTATGTCGCGCTGATAATTTTTTTATGCAATATAAAGAGTAGCAAAGATACGTAATTTACAAATCTTTGATTGTTGAATTTAATTTGAATTTCTTTAGACTCACTTTTAATAAAGAAAATGTAAAAGCATTTGTGTGTGTGTGTGTGTGTGTGTGTGTGTGTTGTAAAATCCTGTACGGTGATATGAATAAAATGAAAAAAGTTGTAAATAATAAAATAAAATAAATGTACATATTTTAACAGAAATTGAGTGCGATATTGATACAGAAACGAGATAACGGTGCTTATGCACCAATGACATACTGATCAGACGACCAATAGTGGAGCAGTATCGTGGGATAGCATCCTGGGTGTTGGCAGTAAGACCGAAGGATTCTGAGCAAAATATCGCTTCTTTTTACTCGCAACATATTTATAATTAAATTTTATATTTATTTTGAATGTATGCATACTTAAAATGTTATCCACTTTTAGTATTAAAACAATATTCTTTTTGCTAATTCAAAAATTTTGTTTGAGCGTCTACATCGCACAAAATGTTGTGGGACAACAGCATTTCATGATGTAGACAATCAAGCACAAAATTTTTCAATAAGAGCATGGGTTCGTATCTCATTTCTGAAACTGAAAAATACGGAAAAATGGACGAGGCCGGAATTTGAACTCACAATCAGAATCCTTCGGTCTTATTGCCAACACCTAGGATGCTACCCCACAACTGCTCCTCTAATAATCGTTTGACTATAGTATGCTATTGGCACGAAAGCACCGTTATCTTGTTTCATCAATATTGCACTCAATGTGGTAGAACTTGTATCCGTATGCAGTTTTACGTGAACAAAGCCTTGAAGACCGAATATGATGTAAGACACTTTAGGTAGTTAAACGTTTTTTTGCAGTCTTCGTCAAAAACGTATTTTTGCGGAGCATAATGGTTTGGTGTTTGCGGCGCAGTCAGATATAAACCTTCAAAAATAATTAAAAGAAATCTATAGCACGCTGTAATTGTAAAATGGAGATAGGGTGCGAATACTTTTTTATGACCTCCACTTGACGACCGCTTTAAGTGATGCCTTCCGGCGAGATAATTCAGAGATACTCGGGGCTAACGAAATAATCGTTGTTATCGAATGCTGCACGTTTTATAATGCTCTCAACGATTAATAAGACTAAAAATATCCCGCAATCTGCAAATCGAACGACGACCTGGCGAGAGAAAGAGGAAGGGAGGGAAGGAGGGAGAGAGGAGAAGGGGAATCGGAAATAGTCGCGCCTGTAATTTCCCGTAACGAATATCGAAATTGCGCTCGTCATCGCATCGCTCATTGCATCATCACCATCACGTCCTCATTACGTGAGATTGTTGATGCACTCTCAGGCGAACGTACATATAACGTATATAATTCGATACCGGATCGGTAAAACATGCAACAAACCGCAGCAAGTTTCACTCCGTGCAATTAAAATTTCAATATCGGCCGGCGCGTGTTCCGAACACAATTATTTATTTTTTATCACATCTCGTTCGTCAGAAAAAAGTATCCCTCAGGAAATACTGTATTCTTTTTTCTCGTGAAAGTTATATATTCTATTTTGTAATTAATAAATATTATACTAGTTTTTAATACTACTTTTCACGTACTATTCAAGAAAGTTTTAATTGTATTAAAAGTTTTATTTGTAAGCTTAAATGGCTGTACTAAATGTAATTTAGTGCAGCATATTATCAGATTTTTTAAACTGATACAAAATAAATTACTAATCGCATTTAAGATTAAGCTGTAATTTAATAGTTAATTTAATACTCCTACCTGTATATCGATACCTGAAGCTGATCTTCTTCGGTGGCCAAATCCGTCATTCTAATTCCTCTCAAGCTCACAGCCAAAGAGACCCTTTGCAACTTTTTTCCGCTTGCTTTCGCCTGTAATAATTAAAACAAGCCGGATTAAAAAATGTAATGATGCGCCAGAGCACCCATTAACGAGATTTAATTTAATAAGAACATCTTTATTCTCTCTGTGTCATTTTTATCATAAAGCTTTATAACATAATCTAATATAACATAAAAACAGAATAATAATATCAAATTCCAGAAAATCTTCAAGTCTTTATTTTGCTTTTTTTTACTACCATCAAATTATATTTTAATATTAAACATATAATTTAATAAAAAGATACTTGTAAAATAAAATTTATTTTTAATCGTTTTATATTTTAATCTCAAATGTTAACATTATTATTATTATTATTATTATTTGAAATTAATTTGACTTATTTCAAAGTAATAATTTTCATGTCTTTAAGTTTGATGTATACGGATGAAAAATGTGGAAGAAAAATCTACAAAAATACTTTAATTAATTTTTTATTAAAGTGACGTTCTTTTCCTCAATTCATTTTCTGATGTCTGGTGACTGACAGAACATCCTTTCTTCCAGTCATGTGAAAACTCAAGTCTCAAGTGGATCATCTAACAATCAGAGATCAGTCGACTGAATAGTGAATTTCTTTCTATTGATTTCGTTCCACTGCGTCGACAACAATTTCGCTGGTTGTTCGAGCAGAAGGCGGTGTTTATTGAAGTACACATCCGGAAGCAAATCTCGCGGTGTAAATCCGAACGAACTGAAGCAACACACGGCTCGATTACCTTTTTCGGAAATCAAATATCTCGTCGCTAAACCGTGAGCTCTCACGCGCCGCTCCATTGCAACGCAATTACGGGTCTTCGCGCGGATTAAGCGGTCCATTTAACGATTTAACTCGCGCATGGAAATTTCGCCTTAATCGCGAACGTCGCACGAGAGATTCCGGGACGTTCCCTAATCCGATGATTCTCGAGCGGATTCTGCATCGGGTCTCTCTCTGTCACGGACGCATTATTGCGAAAGGATACAGATTCGCTCAATGTCTTCGTAATCTGATTAGATTTCAGGCGCACACACACACACACATTTATCGCGCTCGGAAATGTCACTATTAACAAAATATGCGAAGAAAATAGCATAAATAAAATTTAGAGATTTAATTCGATTTAAATTGCAATTGTTGTCTCGCATGGAAAGAATTCGAGAGAATTCTATTACAGACAAAACGAGCTTCTCTATATTCGAAGAAAGTGTTTAATAAAAGCATTAACTTACTAACCTCGAATTAACATTGTCGCTTGATGTGAGTGGTAGAAAATATTTATCTGGAAATTAAATCCTTCTTTAATTTAAATTTACGTAAACAACGTTAAAATGATTAAACACAAGAAGCTAATTATGCGATGCAAAGCAAACTTTGCATTTAATTCCATATTTATGATTTAATAACGATATATTAGCTATGTTAACATTTGTAAAATTATTTCGCGGGGCAGTCAAACTTTTAATTAAATTCTTTGCGCGCATTTTGTTTAAATAATAACAATTATCCGAATTTAGTGAAACAAGGATTGATATTCATTATTTCTAGTAAAATCCGTGGAAACAATTGCATGTAAAGTTTTACAGATTATCGTATCTTTTCGCGAGAAAAGAGAAATTCCGCAGCGATAACGAGACTCTAATTCCGTTCAGAATCTCGTCTTCATTTATTTTTTGATAAATAAAGTTTTTCTTATTTTATCATATTAAATCTGCAACGAAAACATGCTTATTCAGTTATGACAGCTATTTGCCGCGAAAAACCGAATGTTTGAGCGATTTCTTGTCTCTTCGATAAATTAAATATCCCAGCTAACTTTATCATCTCGTTTCAAAGAAGATTCAACTCGAAAATTGAACGAAAATTTTTTAACGCTACTCTCAAACTTCTCTTCGCGGCTTCTCTTTTTTATTTACGATCTTACGAAATCCTAAGCCGAGACTGTCTAATTCTCGTTGACAAAGCAGCAATATGTTTATTAGCAATGACTTACATATATCTATTAATTTGAATACATATACGTAGTATATAATTTAGGGCGTCCTGTACCAAGTAGCTTCTTGCTTGCAAACACTGAATAGCATTATCAGCGAGAACTTGCAGGAACTGCATGACGGAAATGCGGAGTTGCCTTTATGGTCGCGACATGGCAAGATGATGCCGTTAGACGCACGAATAACTCCTGCTTTCGTGGCAGATGCATCTTAATCAGTGACTTGAGAGCAAATTATCTCGAAATTACAAAAACCATGGCGTGTTAATACTCGAGAAGAGCGTTCGAAAAACTCTTCGACGCAGCACACAGAAATGTGGCGAAATGAAAATTATATAAATTTCACGGCAGATTATTGCACAAATTAATTTCTCTCGCGGAAGAGACGTAAATAAGCAACGGGGGGATTTATCGTTTCAACGTGAGACAAAGGCTGCCATAGAGAACGGATAGGATGCATTCACCGTCCAATCCGGCAAATGAATGCGATGCTGCGAAGAGGAACTAACAATAATGGACGCAATTACGCAGGTACAAAAGACGTCGAGAGGGGATCAATCGGAGCGGACGAACCGGGGCGGGGCGGGGCAATTATAGCGCAAAGACGGAGGTGCAATGCAGAAGACTTCGATCCGCGGGAAGTCCGCTGACGCGGAATACGATTGCGCGCGTCGGCAAACTTTCGAATCGATCCCGAATAGAGAGTTTTCGCAAAAACCCGATAGCTATTTGATCTTGTTCGCGTTGCAGCAAAAGCGTTCGAACGAAAGCAGCTTAGTGCGACACCAAACCGGGCGCCTAAACCGAGCGACGCATACACACCGCAAGGTATACACCCGTGTGTTTTTCCCGACCTGCAGTTTCGTATTTACAGTTGGAATCGCGTTTTCGGAATTCTTACAAACGATCTCCGCAAAAGAAGAGATAATTACAAATCATAAAAGATTCCTGTAACTTTTTTGTCATAAATATTTTTAAAAAAATCGTGAAAAAATTGTATGTACGTTATATATATTAATGTGCACATTACATTAATCTCAGAAATTATAGTTATTGTGGATATTCCATGGTAAGCTATTTTTATCGTAAATGGTGAACATTACAGATTTTATTTTTATCGGGTGTATGTACACAAATGTACATGTATCGTAAACACTGTAAATTATATTTATTGTGGAACGGGGCGAAATTCTGGCGCACCGCGCGTTTCCATCGTGTGTTGACTGAATCCCTTCATTAATAACCACATCGGGAGGAAATTGCCGAAATACATACATTACCGCTTTCTGCAATACTGTCCGTATAATCTCGCGGTACAAGCTGTAATCGCTTCGAAATTGGAATTATATGAGACACGGACGAAGTTTCGTTACGAGTATTAATTAATCATGCTCCTCGGATCGCATAAATTCGTTTTGCCGATTACGCTATTCAACGAGGATTCCCGCTGCTAAACTAAATTGAGAAACTGATAGAACTTCTGTAATTTCTGAATATGAGATGATCTCTTCTTTCAATCATCGCCACGACGAAATCATTTTTCAAATAGTTTTCGTCGCAGCACTTTTATTGTCAGTCTAATCCGCATTTGACAAATAAACGATATTTAATCAAATAACCGATATCTAATATCGGTCTTCTATTAATTATTGAGATACCTGAATGATGTATTCGAGATACACAAAATTCCTTCAAAATAAATTGGAAATTTTTATCAGAGTAATTTTTTCTCAACCGATATCCATGCTTAATAAAACGCCAAAAAATCGCGAGTCTGATGGTATTTTTACGTGCAAAAAAAAAAGCAATACTACTAGTTTTATCGGGAGCAATATCAGCTATCCTCGCAATATTTCACGTACAAAGTCAAAAGTAATTAGCGGACGAGTGGAAGTTGGCTCAAATAAGCCATTTCTCATTAATGCTCGTTTTTTGTGCGAACGTACTCGCCGTTTTTCGCATCCTGTATTTCTGAACATTGGCAGGCACAATTTCAAAACACGTGATTCAATTTTCGAAATTTTTATCGCCGATCAGCAGAATCCAGAGGGCGTTAAATAATGGAAGAAGAAAAAATGAAAATACGAAATAATTAGAACGCCGTCAGCCGCGACAGAGACAAAGTAGCGAATAAACGTGGCGCAAAGTAATCACGCTTCATTTTCATTAGCTCTATTAACGGACCCGCGGCTATGCGCGAGAAATTAGTACCTTGCAATTTCAATTAAATTCTCTTCACGGCGACCGCGTCGGAAAATGGTTGAAAGTAAATTACACGGTGCGATACAATTCCAACGATAAATAATACAGTGGCAATCTCCAGCGCAAGCGGTAAACCTGCTCCCTTCTCTCCTCCTTCTCTTCCCTCCCCCCTTCTCACTGTCTTTGTCTCTCTCTCGCTCTCTCTCTCTCTCTCTCTCTCTCTCTCTCTCTCTCTCTCTCTCTCTCTCTCTCTCTCTCTCTCTCTCACTCACAGAATAAACGGTAAATTTGAAATAATTAAACATTTAGCGCAAAGTATTATATGCGTTCGCTATATACATTAATAATGCAACTATCGCTATATAAATAATTTTATAAATTACATATTTAAAAAATCAGAAATATTTCTAAACTGAATTTTTCATGTGTTTTGTGTAAAAAAACATAATTTACATATTTTTTAAATAAATATGTCGCATATTTATTACATATGCCCATTTCTCTGAGATTTTTCTCCTCAAAATAAAGACTTATAGAGAGATAATTAGAAAATTAGAGGCATAAAAAATTGTACTATAATTAAATATATAAAGTAGATGTGTGTGCAACATACACACACACAGAATTTGCAAATCTAACGTTGTTTAACCCTTTCTCTTTCGATATTTGAGTTTGTAAATATAACATGAAAAGTAACAATAATAATAAATCAGAATAGCCAGAAAAAAAGGTTCGAGAAAACAATTAAAAATAATTGGAAACGCTTTTCCAAGGTAAGCCTATAGATGCAGTAAATTATGAAAATTATACTCGAAATAATACCATGGTAATGACGGTCTTGATGGCTTCCGCCGTGGCTTCCTCGCTCGAAGGCGTTTCGACGAGGGTGCTGCCCAAATATTTGAGGGTGAACCTCGCCTCAGACGCATCCTCAGATTCCTCCCCGTGCGTTGTGCTCGTCGAACCGCCACTCTCCACGCACTCGCGGCTATTCGCCAGCGCCCATTCCTCGCATAGCTCTGAAAGTTAATATCAAGCGAGATATTGATATGAAATCGATGATGAACAAATTCCTATTTCGCGAAGATCGATCAGTAAAAAAATCCTTCAGTTCAAATCAGCACGAAGCTTTTCGCGAAATAAAGATCGAGTCGGAAATTTCGTGAAATCTATAAATATTAAATTTGTTTGGTTAAATTTATTTGAATACTAGAAAGGGTACAAGGATTTTCGGGATAATAGCGAAAAGGTAGGGGCAACAATCGGGGAAACTTCACTCTTTGCAGATACAACTCGACGGTGATAAATGCTACGTAGTCGGAATGACCAATGTAACATTAGTCCAGGTTCGTAACCACATAAGCCAGCCTCGTTGTCTGTTTATTTCGTGACAGGAATGGTCGCGCGTGAATCGCAATAATGGATATCCGGGTGTATGTATGTATATAGTATGTATATATTATATATATATACAGATATACACATATATATGTATATATTGCGTTGCGATTCTCTCCGTTCCGAAATTTTGTCAAACTCCTGCCACTCCACAAATCGAAAATTTCGATACAAGAGCATCGATGCATCATTTTGTAAAATTTGATTCAATAATGACGCGAGAGATGTTCCAAAAATTAAGGGTAAATTATCTGCCTCGGACAAAGTTAATCGAAAGTTATCAGTTATATCACATTCACGACGGAAGTTATAATTATATAGTGAAATAAAAGAGTGCACGTTACATGATTCTATCCAGGAAAAGTGAAAAGTTTTTAAATAAATTGCAGAGAATTATTCTCCTCGAAGAAAGTTGATGAAGATCGATCGTATCTTTCAACAGAAATTATAAGCGTTATAAAGTAAAAGAAAAAAAAAACAAAGAACTATTCTTGATTTGTCGTGCGATGAAAAAAAAGATATTTCGAAACTTACAGGAAATTAATTCTGTCGGAGGAAGTTTTGATGAATTGCCAATTGACTTATTTCTAAAAAAAAAGTATTACAATTGCTGTAAGATACAATATACTTTTGCGCGTGTACTTATATCAAATGAAATCTTTCAAAAATCATTTCTCTCGTTTCTCTGTTCAACATAACTGCACTTGTTTTCTTTTTGCAGTACACAAGTGCAATAAAAAGAATTCGCGAAACCGCTTTATCATCGCGATTTGTCCACGCTGCTGCAAGTTTTACGAAGCGGTATCAATAGGCGTCCGCGCGCTATTGGTCGCCTTGCGGAAAGTCTGAAAGTTCGCGGCCGGGTCTCCGCGCGCCGTTATTGTCGGGCTGGTGCGAAACTTTGCCCGCAGAACAATTTTGTAAAAGCGGCGAAAACTCGTTACCACTCGTGACACGACGCGGCACGTCATGACGTCTCGATCGAGAAAAGAAAACTCGCGATCCCACGAGCATCTCCCCCGACGAACGTGTTCTTTTAGAGATGTTAGCGGTTGACCGGGTTGACGCTACGTCGTGTCAAAAGTTATCGTGTCCCCGCGGCACGGCAGTACGTGTCCATTTCGTTCTGACACGCAGATCAAATCGGAGAAATAAAAATATGAGTCGCATGATTCGATCAAGGCTATCAGTCGTTTCATACAGCGTGTTTTTAAAGACGCCTACTCGCTTCTCGAATACGGATTCGTTGAAAATTTTGGATTATATAATAAACAATTTTTTTTTCAAATTATAATTTAAAAAAATTTTATTATAAAATTTTGTAATAAAACTTTCTTTGATTTTAAATACTTATAAATAATTCTCTAATGCTTTTTATTTTTGCGCGACTATGAAATTGCATTCGAAGTAAGTTCATTGATATAATTTTATTTATAAAAACGTGATTATTGATATTAAATAAAAGAACTAATAATATAATATTCAAATAACAATAAATATAACGCTTTTGAGACACTTATTGTTAGCACGATACACTCACAATCGCCGGTCGTCGTCGAATAAATATATAGGAGGTAGGCGTTTCCGCGCAAATCGAGGCACGTGGGAAGACACGAAAGCGCAGGAAATGCGATCGCTACCCAGTCCCATTTGTATCAATTTGTCAATGAGCACTTCCTGCGCAATTTTTTTTTCTTTCGTATCGCGGACCATCAATCTTTAGCGACCTCCTAACGTCCAAAGGGAGATCCTCCCTCGATTTCGCAATAAAGGCGGCCGCTCTGAGCGATGCATTTCTGCGATAAATGTCGTGAAAATGCATCTCGACGTGACATCATGATTACGAACGATCGTGTCATGCGAAGATACAAATATCGAGAGAGATTTTATTAAAAATTGTGATAGCGGTTTTTCTCTACAAATCTTTCACTGTTAAAAAAAATTATCTCCAGATTTATCAACAACATCTCAGTAAAGGGAAGACCGAATTTCGTATACAATGCACTCTTTTTGTAATCTTCAGATAATTTTTATATGAAGTGTAATCTTACATTAATCTATTGTGAATTATATGTAAAATATCTTTTACATATTTTAATATTATATATGATATAGGTACAATATTTTTAATATTCACATTATATTCAATATAATAAAATGAAAAAAATATGTTTTATATAAATGTATCTTTAAAAAATTATGTTATTCCCGATTTCTGTACGCTAATGTGTCGTGCACATTTTATTAAACAAAATTTCTTATGCTTTCACATGACAGTTTGTTATTCCTATTACCCCGTTCTTGGAGAGGAACAGCCGTTATCTTCGACGTTGACATGGTAGAATTCAAATGACGACGCGATGAATTTAACCGTGACGCGAATATATATTCCTCCCGGATGTTCCCTTCGACGGAATAAGAAGAATCGACTCCGGCGCCCGATCGACGAGTATTTTAATATTTCAACGGCCGCGTTGACAGGGGCGCTACGTGAAAGCCATTCCGCGTGCGACGCTAACGGAAACGCAATGCCATCCGGCTGAAAATTTATGCGAACCGCCTTCATCCGGCGCGAGGCGGTGTGGAAAACCGATATATTGTAGCGCACGCCCCTGAAATTCCATTGAGGGAAAGACGACGCGAGCGGGGATGGGTGACGGACGCGCGGCAACGCCGTGAAAACACTCAAACGGGAAACTCTATCTGCCCACCCTGAAATTCCTAATCGTAGAGCCACGTCAACTATCGATCGATTTTCCCGTGGAAATTTGTGGCAATTAAATTTGACTCAGCGTTCAAAACTTTCCCCTCTCCTCTTTGATATTCCGCTTGATACAAGTTTCAATATATTTGCGCGAGGCCCTAAACATTGACAAAGTTATAACGGGTTATAACGTGAGTTTGACGAGTGCCTCGACGTAAAAGCGTCTCGTCGGTCAAACGATCCTTATATTATACGTTTGCATAAAAATCGCGAAGAATTATTCACGGACGCGCGCAGCCTTCCCTCCCCCCCCCCCTTCGCGAATAGAGATGACAGGACAGAGACGGTAGGAGAGATCTCGCGACCCGTTTTACCGTTTTCTGGCCGAAGAAATTTCTATCATAGCTCGCGGCAGCAAGTCTCTCTTCCTCGCGGACGGAAGCAATTTGCGGGGGTGCTTTCCTCGCTTCGGACGCGGGTAGCGCGAAATTGGACCAATTACTCAGAGTTTTTTCAGCGATTACTATAACGATCGCGGGGGGCGCGGAAGACGCCGAGAGAGGAATTAACTATTCGCGAAATTGCACGGGAGAGAACGTGCGTGTACTCGCGGGCGGGCGCCGCGTTTGGAGAATTAATTTTATTTCCATTCGGTGAATTCTCGCGCGCTTTAATCTCATTGCACTCGGCAATGTCGGCGAAATACGTATTCTGCGTGATATAAATCCTTTTAAATAGTTCGAAACGTGATGAAAGGTCAGTCCACAGTCGTAAACTGCTTGAGAACAAAGTATTGGTCGGGGTGGTTTTTTCAATGCGCGGGACAACGGCGTGACCCGTGTCCCGTTTCGACTTTATTTCTCCCTTACTTCCGGTCTGATGCGTCCGATATATATACGGTCGTCTCTATACGAAGGTTAACCGAAGGAAGGGAGGAGACTTCTTCGGGCTTCTTGTGCGCCAACGAGATTTTCCTCCTCCACATTCAATAGATACCGCTGCTGAATGATAGGAATGGAATTGATGCTCCCCCTTTCCCTCTCGCTGTCCCATCGTGAGTTCTCTCGCGGATCCGTTCGCGAAACGCAATTTTACCAGAAGGCGAGGAAGACCGTTGGGTTTCTCGACGCGCATATATCGTGTACGTAGATTTGTCTTTCCAAGAAAGTTAAAATTAAAATGGGAAACGATCTACGACATGCGATGATATTACAACCGTAAGCACCCTGAATTTATTTCCCTGAAAAAGCAGTAATAAAAATCAAAAAACTAACAAAATATTAAAATTGTTATAAAAATATTATTTTTCAATAAAACTGTCTTTTCAGTTTTAGATATGGAACGTCAATTTGTGGAAGTGCTTTATACTTATGCTTAAGGCTATATAGAATGTAAAATATCGTTAGTTTATACTCGAGATATCTTTCAACTCTCTAAAAACGTTGATCTAATTTCTCTCCTGAACGAGATTGAATTCCTGAAAAATTAACTTTTAATTAAATTAAAAACTAAAAATACTGATTTTATTTTCAAAAACTGTTATTTTTAAAATGTAGAAAGAAACATTTTCATAAAATGAATTGAAAATACAATCTTTCCCACATTTCGAGAAAGAAAGGAGAACGATATTCGCATTAAACGTAAAAAAATGTACTTCCATAGAATTGCATAGAATTACGTTTTTCATTTCTTTAGTACGCGAGCGCATCTCCCGCGAAAATTATCGGGATTAAATGCCTTCCGTCGCATGCTCGTTAAAAAAAAGGAGTGTCCAGTGATTTCGTTGCGCTCGTAATACCAGGCGCCGCGCAGATCAATTGGATATCGCGCGCGCTGTGCGAAAGAGGAAAAACGAAAAAAAAAAAAGTTAACACTGCGGTCGCCGTCGCGGCGGCGGTTGCGGCGGCAAACGCGGAC